ATGTAGCTTATTTTATTTTTGTTGTTCATTCATATCTTATTTTACCTAGTTAACATTTATTTATTTATGCATATTTTTGTATCTCTCCAACTTTAAACAATATTTTTGGTTAAGTATACATTGGAATGATTTCAAACCTGTTTTTATTTATCCTAATAATTATAAAGGAGTGCCTTGGAAATATGTGTTTACATAATTTGTGGTCAAAACGTTTGAGACTCACTGAGATAACTTAGACTAAAATTAACTATCTAAATACTCAGAGTCCTTAACCTCACTGAGCCTCTCAGTCTGACAGGAGAGCTCTCCTCCACCCTGGTTGTAGAAACATCTACTTCTTATATCCGTTAGCGCATCTAGCACCAGATTCTAATAACAACAGCGCCGGTACCTGTGCGCCCTCTCCCTTGCTCGCTCTCTCGCTACCACGCTCGCCCTTTGGCTGTGAGCTGCGGGCGCCTGATAAGCCAACATCCCCCACTTTCATCACTTACATCGCCCACCGTACAGGGCAAATTAAATGTGTAACCGGGGTGAAAAGGGTGTTACATTTACTTAATTATGAATGTTGTTACATCAAGGCTGAACATTTGGATGAGCGCCAACAGTCAAAAATGTTTTTTCCCTCCCAGAGCTACCAGCGCAGCGCCCCCCAGATCTGGCGCCGTAGGCGACCGCCTGTGTCGCCTATGCCAGTAAAACAAATACTACAAATCTACATAACAAACAATCAAAAATGAGAAAGGGTCGCCACCTATTATTTTATTTTTTTGGGTACCTGGCTGGCGCCCCCTAGCAGCGGCGCTTATATTTCAGCAGCGGCTCTGCGCCGCCACTATTTGTATATAGGGGAAACACTGTACATCCATGTTGTAATCCGCTGTATAGAAAACTGTAGTTTCCATAGTTTCCCCACAGCAGCAGCAGACGCACATTCATGCCTCGGATAGTGAAAGTGCAGTCGGATTCTCTAAAGTACAGTGCAGTCTCTTCTCCTAAGTCCTTTTGAATTCTCCTATCCACTATCCCTTAACCCTGTGACGTTTCACTCAGAGGTCAAGGAATAGATGATAGAGATAGGCGTTAGGAGCTGATTTTTTTTTGATTATCCGACCACAACCTAGTACTAGGAGCAATGGGAGTGAGGGGGGAAGGGGGTTGTCTGGTGCCTTGCTCAAGGGCACCACGGCAGGGCAGGAGGTGAACTGGGAACTCTCCAAGTAGCAGTCCACACTCCACTTTTAGGTCTGGTTGTGGACTTGAACCGGCGACCCTATGGCTCTCAGTCCAATCCCCTACTGACTGAGCCACTGCCGGACTTGGTCATTGAAATCAGACCATAGTCATTTCTAGGAGTTTTTGTAGACTGCACTTCCTATTTAGATTTTGTCAGTAGAAAATATCTTACCAAAATTGTTTTATGTTTTCTTCTGTCTTGGAATAAACTCGATATTCAAGTGATTGGACAACTGTTTGATCAAGTGATATTGCAGATGTTCGTTATTTTTTGCAACCAACTCTTCCTGCTGTCTTTACTGCATTGCAAGAAATTCATGTAAGAGATAACTTTGTGTCCTTCCTCTACAGAACTTCCTTGAAAACAAGCCGCTTGACAAGACAAAAAAAGATCCTAAGCGGATGTCAGTGGAGAGGATCTATCAGAAGAAGACCCAGTTGGAGCACATTTTGCTTCGACCGGACTCCTACATCGGCTCTGTGGAGCCCGTCACCCAAGTAAGAGGTCACACACAAATGTCTGTCTTTTGAAATGGATTGAATTGTTTGTTTTTTTAAATCTGTTTTGTGTTTAGCTTTTTATCTTATTTATTGATGTGTGTCTTATGTTTTTGTATGTGATATGGACCTTGAGTCTGAAATAAAAAATAAAGATGACCTCTCTAAATAAACCTTGTATTGATTCCGAGTCCCTGGGTAAATGTCACAGGAGTTGATGTGAGGATAGACTTTTTAAGATATTTTTTGAAGAAAATTATTGCTCACTGCAGGATGTTTTTTGGAAGAACAAAGCATTCATGGTTCACATTATACAAATCTTTGTAGTGACTATTTGACTTCCTTCTTTAGCAATTGTGGGTGTATGATGAGGTGCTGGGACTGAACTCCCGTGATGTGACATTTGTGCCTGGGCTTTACAAGATTTTTGACGAGATCCTTGGTGAGTAAAAAGCCATTAAAACTTTAGATGAAGTACAATGTCAATTATCATTAGCAACGCTTGTATAAGCATGTTTTCCCCCCCAATTATTTCTCCAGTAAACGCAGCTGACAACAAGCAGAGGGACAAGAGTATGAACTGTATCAAGATCAACATTGATGTGTGAGTAATATATGATATTGAACAACCATTGTCAAATAGCACTGCTCATATCCAGCTATATTGCCTTCATTGGTATCACTAAAGAACATGATCAAATGTTTATGTATGTTTTTCCTTTTTATAGTGAAAACAACACCATCAGTGTGTGGAATAATGGGAAGGGTATTCCTGTGGTGCAGCACAAGGTGGAGAAGGTCTTTGTGCCGGCTCTCATCTTTGGACAGCTCCTCACCTCCAGTAACTATGATGACGACGAGAAGAAAGTCACTGGTGAGTTTGATCAACCTGGGTTTAATGTCTCTAGTTGTGGCCCTTACTTTTGTTTACAATAACATCGATCTCACCAATTAAATTGCAGAGATCTATTGTTGTTGTGAACAGTTCTACATTCAACCATGCATTTGAGTCCGACAAGCAGTTATCAAGACGCAGTTAAATGATAAAACATGTTTTTAACAAAACTTTAACTTTAATAGTTAAACTATTCATTTGGAACTGATAATGAAACAAAATCCCCTAAAAGGCTTGTCTAATCATGAGTCTTTAGGATAAACAATTTGTTTTAAAAATATTAGGGGTGTAACGGTTCACAAACATTTCGGTTCGGTACGTAACTCGGTTTTTACGTTTCGGTACGTTTTCGGTACGGCAGAAACAATTATCACAAAACATAAACTATTTTTTTTTTTTTTTAAATTAGTAAACTGTGAATAATGTATTCACTCAAATAAATACAAAATATAATAAAATAAACATTAAGGTGCAGCATTTCGATAAACTGAAATAATCTGTATTTGAACTGTACTGTACTAGTACCTAAGCAGCTAGCTTGACGTTAGGACTTGCTTGCTTGTCATTGTATTTTCATTGTAGGAGCCATATGTTAAAATGTATAGTTTGATATATTTGAATATTATAATCCTTTGTTGTTAGTGCTATTATATCATTTATTTGAACCAACCGTGTGAAATTGACGGCATAGACGACCGCAGCTGTAAGTGATTACGAGACGTTATAGCCGACGGCAGCTGCTGGTGATTGGCATGTGTGAGAAGGAGAAAGAAGCACAGAGCAACATAGTTTTTTGACCTGAGAAAATATTTGTTTGTATTTGATACCTTTCTGTTTAAGTAAAGAGTCAAACAAACTATCCTGAGACGTATCTTGTCCAAGGGATTCCAGTAACGGCGTCGCATGAAAGGTGAAGATAAAGACTGCTCTTCCGCACACGGAGATTGGCACATTAAGTGTGACATCCGAAGAACAAAAGACGGTGAAGTGGCCTGTTGTTACATTAATGTTTAAAGACGGATGGGAGATCGCTACTCTCCGACAGAAGAGGGAGTCTGAATGGATCAGCTGATTCCAACTTCCAGCTAATTACCTTTTTGATTTTCATTTGCACCAATTTGAGTTGACTTCCACACGGTTGTTATCTCTGCGAACCTGCGAAAATATCTTTTACAGAAACGACTGCACAGAAACGAATTTCCTTGTTGCAATCAATGTTACATAACA